TGCGCTGTCTCACCCAAGGAGACACCTGCCTGCTGGTCCCCCCCCCCCCCGCAAGCCTCCCCCCATTCCTTGAATACACGGACACATGCCCACCTCAGGGCCTTTGAACTTGCTGCTCTAACCCTCTTCCGGTTCGGGAAGCTCCTCCCTACAGAATCCGCTCAGCTCGCTCTCTTAACTCCGCCCACCTCTGCTCAAATGTCGCCTTATCTGACTGCCTATCACCGACCACCCTAAAATACCAGCCTCCACTGCTACCTCTCATTTTTTCTTTCCCCTACTTTATTCTTCAGCGTGTGTATCCCTTGTGACATTCTACCCAGTGTCCGCCCTCCTCCCCTGATAAAGCAGCTGCAGGGGCAGAGGTTTTGTTTTGCTCACTGCTCTATTCCCAGTGCCCGGAACTGCACTTGCAAACAGCAGGCGTTCCGTAAGTGTTGAAGAAGGCTCAGAAGCCTTCTTCCAGGAAGCCTTCCCTGATTTTTCCTCCACCCCAAGGCAGGCTGAACTGGAAACCACCAGATGTCATCACCTGGATCTCTGCCTCCCTCCCTCGGCTGGGAGAACCTGAGGGCAGAGTCCTCTTTTGTCACTGGAGTTCCATTTGGGGGTGGGTCCCCATCACAGACCTCTGTATGCTTGTATGTATTATTTTTATTTGAAAACCGTTCAGATGTGCTCCGAAACCCAAGCTGCCTGGGGACCGTGTCTGGGACCAGCTGGCCCAGGGGCCGGGGAGCCTCCCCCCTACCTGAGGGTGCGGCCCGAGCTGTGGAGGCGAGTGCGTTGGGACAGCGGCAGGGGCAGCCCGTCCTTGAGCCAGCTCATGCGGATGGGCGCGGAGCCCCGGACGGGGCACGCCATGGTCACCAGCTCCCCAGGCCTGCTCACCAGGGTCCCCGAGCCCTCTGCCCACTCCTCGATGGTGGGAGGAACTAGGAGTGGGCAGAGAGGAAAAGGGGGGCAGTGAGAGGGTTGAGGAAGAGGGTCTGGGTGGGGGAGATGGGATCCTCTCGGGCAAATTCCAGAAAGCAGCAACCATCTCGTATTGGGTTCTTAGAGCCACACATCGGTGCCAGGAGAGGAAGAAGCCCAGCACAGGGGGGCACGGGCTCACCCCGTGGCTCTCTTCTCACCCACCCCCCTACCTCCCAACTCTCCCGCCGTGCCCCTGGGCCGGGAGCGCCGTTCCTTTAGTCTAAGAAAGGATGCAGACGCCCAGAGAGGCCGTATGGTGGCCTGGCTCACAGTGTGGACGTGGCTGGGGCTGGAACCAGGTCTCCAGCATCCCGGCCCCGGCATCCCCCCTCCAGATGCCCCCGGTGGAGGCCCCACAGTGGCCCAGCTGCGGCAGCCCCGGGAGGGCAGAGCTGCCCCCCTCCTCGCCCCTCCGCTGCTCACCCAGCACGCTCACTGTGTGCAGCCTGGCGTCCTCCCCGGCCGCGTTGTGGGCCACGCAGGTGTAGGCGCCCGAGTCCTCGGCCCTCAGGCCCTTCAGCACCAGGGCACCGCCGTCCACGTAGAACCTGCTCGGGGCCGGAGAGCCGAGAGCCGGCACGTAAGGGGCTGTGGCTGCTGCTCGGGGTGGGGGGTGGGGACCCGGGAGGACACGGGGTGGGACTTACCGGA